ACGCCGTCGCCCTGCTCACCACCATCGTCCACAGTAACCGCTCCCTCGTCCACGGTGGCCGATGCGTTCGGGCGCGTACACATTACCGACCGGCGGGGCGTTCCGCGTGCGGTGCGTCATGGCCCCGGCGTACGGAAGCAGCGGCAGGGCTGGCTGGGCTGGCTGGGCTCGCCATCCTCGTCGCTCTGGTGGAGAGGAACAAGGACGGCCCGGCCGCCGCCATGGGCCATAGCCATGGGCCATAGCCGTGGGCATGCAGCACCGGCACCGCGCGGAGCAGCGCGGCGGGGCGGAACGGTGCGCGTGGTGCGGCGGGGCGGGGCGGGGCGGGGCGGGCGCGGCGGGGTGTGTTGGTTGGTCACATCCGCTGGACGGTAGCCGCGCTGTGCCGCGGCCCTACCGGCTATCACTCAGACACGGCTGGCACGGCGTTAAACAATATGCGACCCCCTCCCTTTTCCTCCCCTTCTCCAGCCGCTCCTCCTTGACTGGAAGGCTCCAGGCTGCTCCTGGTCTCGGTCCCGCCTGATGTGTCGTTTTTTTGTTGCAGGCCGAAGCTCTTCTTCATGTGGCGTGTGCGTTGGCCAACGGCCCCGAGTGAGACATGGTGATCGTAACCAGGGTAAGTGCACGCCGAGCTGCAGGTTTTATCAGCCACATTTATTTGCGACCTGCCGTCAGCATTTTTTTTGACACGTGTGTGTGTCAATGACGGGGGGGGGGGGGGGGGGGGGGTGTAGAGTCTTGGGTATAGATTGCCATATATGATATTTTCCTTGCCTTGGGGGATTGTAAAGAATGTGATTGCCAGCACTCAGTGCTTCTCATTTTCCTACTGTGCACCTCACATCAAGTATTTAAATTTGCAGGGTGACTACATCTGGATTGAGCCGGTCTCGGGCCATGAGTTTGATGTGGCCATTGGAGCAAGAGTGCAGAGTGCGGAGGGTCGTCGGATACAAGTCAGAGATGACGATGGAAAAGTAAGCTATTCTAAGATACACAAAAGTGGTCAAGATAGTCATTTTGATATTCCAAATCATCTGAAATAATGTTTCGTCATAAAAAATATGTTAATTATTGCAGCTGCACTTGACCTTATTTCAAACTGATGTTATTTAACTTTCAGGAGCAATGGCTCACGCCGGAGAGGCGCATCAAGGCGATGCATGCCACCTCGGTGCAAGGGGTGGAAGACATGATATCGCTTGGAGATCTTCACGAAGCTGGTATCCTGAGAAATCTTCTAATTCGTTACAATGAAAATCTCATATATGTAAGTACATTTTTAAAATCTGGTATTTTTACATTTTGTAATTGTTTTCTTCCATCAATTTGCCTGTTTTCTATTCTAGACATACACTGGATCAATTTTGGTGGCAGTCAACCCATATCAGATTCTCCCAATCTACACTGCAGAGCAAATTAAGCTCTACAAAGACCGCAAGATTGGAGAGCTACCTCCCCACATATTTGCTATAGGTGACAACAGCTACACTCATATGAAAAGATATGGACAAGACCAATGCATTGTTATAAGGTAATTACAGATGAAATTGAAGTCTCTGATTTTTTGTTCAGTTTCAATAAACTTTTCATTCATTTTGTTATTGTTGCTTAGTGGTGAGAGTGGAGCTGGTAAAACTGAAAGCACAAAACTTATCCTCCAATACCTGGCAGCTATAAGTGGAAAACATTCATGGATTGAACAACAAATTCTGGAGGCTAATCCAATCTTGGAAGGTAAATAGCCTTGAATGAAAATATAGAAATCATTATTAATTTGATTATGTAAATCTATATGGTCATGTCTGTCTTACAGCATTTGGTAATGCTAAAACCATTCGAAACGACAATTCGTCTAGATTTGGAAAATATATTGACATCCACTTCAACCAACATGGTGTAATTGAGGGTGCCAAAATTGAACAATATCTGTTGGAAAAGTCCAGAATTGTTTCTCAATCACAAGATGAGAGGAACTACCATGTTTTTTACTGTCTCTTAGCTGGTCTTAGCAAAGAAGAAAAGCAGAGACTAGAGCTGGGTGATGCTTCACAGTACCGTTACTTGACAGGAGTAAGTATTTTTCTAACCTGCTGACATTATCTGGTTAAAATTCAAACTTTACACATCAAGTTGTGTTGTTTTTTTCAAAAACAAACAATTATTTCAATTTTAGGGTGGCTCAATAACATGCGAGGGTAGAGATGATGCTGCAGAATTTGCAGATATAAGGTCTGCCATGAAAGTGCTCCTGTTTACTGATCAAGAAATCTGGGAAATTTTAAAATTACTTGCTGCTTTGCTACACATAGGAAATATTAAATATAAAGCATCAGTCATCGGTGAGTTACTACATACTACTGTTCCAGAAAAAGGAAAGAAAAAGAATGGAACAAAGTTTTGCCTAGGCATACCGAATAACTGTAAATGCCATTTCTCCCTCCTCTTTTTCCAGATAATTTGGATGCTACAGAAATTCCTGATTTGACTAATGTTTTACGGGTTGCGAGTTTGCTTGGCGTGCCAAAGCAACCTTTAATAGATGCTCTCACCAGGAAAACATTATTTGCTCATGGGGAAACTGTGGTACGTTTGTTTGGTGGATGTGGTCCAATTTTTGTATCATCTGGTTTCAAATACAATTGGCTAATGTTGTGAATGAATTTATGTTTAGGTCTCTACTCTATCAAGAGACCAGTCTGTTGATGTCCGAGATGCATTTGTAAAAGGAATTTATGGCCGTCTATTTGTTCTCATAGTTAACAAAATAAACAATGCTATATATAGGCCCAAAAATTCTGCTCGGTCTGCAATTGGTGTTCTTGATATCTTTGGATTTGAAAATTTTCACACTAATAGGTACTATTAAACAATAGAAGATTTATTTTTTTTAATGTTTTGGACACATTTTGGGGACATGAGTCTAATTAGCTTTTCTATATTTCAGCTTTGAGCAATTTTGTATCAACTATGCCAATGAAAATTTGCAGCAGTTCTTTGTTCAACATATTTTTAAGCTTGAGCAAGAGGAGTACAACTTGGAAGCAATCAATTGGCAGCATATAGAATTTGTTGATAATCAGGATGCTCTAGATCTTATAGCATCCAAACAGCTAAATATTATGGCTCTAATTGATGAAGAGTCCAAATTTCCAAAGGTTTGTGTTTGTGTGATGTTTAATTTACTCTAAAATACTAACAGAACATTTTAATATCTGTTGTCTGTTTGTATTTTAGGGAACAGATCAGACTATGTTGGCAAAACTTCACAAGACCCATGGGAGCCACAGAAACTACTTGAAGCCAAAGTCTGATATTAACACAAGTTTTGGTCTGAACCACTTTGCTGGAGTTGTCTTTTATGACACCAGAGGTACTTAATGTTGCCCATGCTTGTACTGTATTTGTTTACTGGGATTTTTTAAAAATGTACTCTAATTTAAAAAAACAAATTGAATACAGGTTTTCTTGAGAAAAATAGGGACACCTTCTCAGCAGATCTGCTTCAACTTATCCACATATCTAGCAACCGTTTTCTTCAACTCCTCTTTTCTGATGATATTGGTATGGGTTCAGAAACTAGGAAAAGGACACCAACTTTGAGTACACAATTCAAGAAATCACTTGATTTGTTGATGAAAACTCTTAGCAGTTGTCAACCGTTTTTCATTCGCTGTATCAAGCCAAATGAGTACAAGAAACCTATGGTAAAGTCCTATAAATTAAATGCATATATTTGATTTATTTCATTCCTTTTAAAAAATTGTACTTATGCTTCTTTTTATTTTTTCATTTTTGCAGATGTTTGATAGAGGCTTGTGCTGCAGGCAGCTCCGATATTCTGGAATGATGGAAACCATACGCATTCGTAGGGCTGGTTATCCTATCAGGCACAGTTTCACTGAGTTTGTTGAACGGTATCGATTCCTCATTTCAGGCGTTCCTCCATCTCACAAGGTATTTATAGACTCATAAATTATTGCCAATTTAAAATGTATGATAATACCTGTATTCATTTACAATGTTTTGTTTTTTTAGACTGATTGCCGAGCAGCTACTGCTCGAATCTGCCAAGCTGTATTGGGAAGATCAGACTACCAACTAGGTCGAACCAAGGTATTTCTAAAAGATGCTCATGATTTGTATCTTGAGCAAGAGAGAGACAGAGTCTTGACAAAAAAGATTCTCATCCTTCAGAAAACAATTAGAGGATGGGTCTACAGAAGAAGGTAGGTTTTCCTTTAAATAAAAGATAACCTTATGGTTCCACTATTTCTGTATGTAAAACTTGATTAAATTTCTTATCAGGTACCAGCGCTTAAGAGCAGCTGCTGTCACAATTCAAAGGTTCTGGAAATCACATGCACAAAGGAGAAGATACCTGAGGATGAGAGTTGGATACCAACGTTTACAAGCTGTGATAAGATCAAGGGTACTTTCTCATCGGTTTAGACACTTGAGAGGTCACATAGTAGCCCTACAGGCTAGGGCTAGAGGATACTTGCTGCGCCGAGAAGTGCGTGCCAAGCGGTGGGCAATTATTAAAATTCAGGCCCATGTGCGCCGAATGATAGCTCAGAGACGCTATCGCAAGCTTCAATATGAATTCTCTCAAAGAAGGGAAGCTCAAAGACTTTTCCGTGAAGAGGAAATGCAACTCAAACAACAAGGAGTTCCAAATGCTACTGAGTTAGCCAGGCGTAACTACAAGGTAATGTATTTGCAGAAAACTTTGGTACTAGTTATTTAGAATTGTGAGACAAAAAAGAAGAGAAAAAGAGTTCAAGCTAAGGTCTAATCTTATTTCGTATAAACACTTTCTAGAAACGACTTGAAGACCTCCAACTTGCCGTTGAGGAACAAAGGCTTGCTGCTCAAGCTCGTACTGATGAAAGTAAACTAATTATTGACAAGGCCATGCAACAACAGGATAGGCCTCTGGATGACAGCCAAGTAGTTGATGAACTGTTTGGATTTTTACCGAAGAGCTCCAGTGAAGTTCAGTCATCTGCTTTGTCCCAGCCACCTTCAGCATTCAATGTAAGAAACGATGAATGTGAACTGAGAAACACCAAATTAAAAATGAAAAACACTAATTTTCTTTTTATACCTATTTTAGGATTTACCTGTTCCTAAGGCAGATCAAACAGAATTGATCACTCCCATGCAGATTGTAAGTGAGGATGAGGAAGATCTCTCTGAGTACAAGTTTCAGAAATTTGCAGCCACCTACTTCCATCCATCTGTTAATCATACCCACAGCAGAAAACCCCTCAAACAACCTTTACTTGGATTACAAACTCAAGGTGATCAGCTGGTAAGTCTCAATCTAAATTAAATAATCAAATATTGTGATGTGATAAGTATTTTGTTTCTCAACTCATAAAATTTCAGGCAGCACAAGCTCTTTGGATAACCATTTTACGATTTACTGGAGACTTACCAGAGCCAAGATTTCACACAATGGATCGCGATAACACCTCAGTAATGAGCAAAGTTACTGCAACTCTAGGCCGAAACTTTATTCGTAGTAAAGAATTCCAGGAAGCTCAGCTCATGGGAATGGACCCGGTAAGTAATGTAAGAGTATTTATATCAATCTCTCTTCACCTCTTTTTCCTCTTTCTCTTAATCTTTTCAACATTAATATGAAATGTTTTTGGTAGGACTCGTACTTGAAGCAGAAGCCACGCTCCATTAGGCACAAATTAGTGTCGCTCACACTGAAGCGTAAACACAAGCTGGGAGAAGATGTGCGCCGTCGATTCCAAGATGAGGAACATACAGCTGACAGTTATCAGAGCTGGCTTGAGGCTAGACCTACATCAAATCTGGAAAAACTGCACTTTATCATTGGGCATGGTATACTACGTGCTGAGTTAAGGTATGATGTATATCCATACTATGGTAATCATGTACCTTAGCCAGTATATACATTATGTTTATTTTTCATTTGTGTTTGGCAGGGATGAAATTTATTGCCAGATTTGCAAGCAATTGACAAACAATCCGTACAAATCGTCTCATGCTCGTGGCTGGATTCTTCTGTCTCTTTGTGTGGGTTGCTTTGCTCCCTCAGAGAGATTTGTGAATTATCTAAGGGCATTTATTCGAGAGGGCCCTCCTGGTTATGCTCCCTACTGTGAGGAGCGTCTGAAGCGGACTTTTAACAATGGTACAAGAAATCAACCACCATCATGGCTTGAACTACAGGCAACCAAGAGTAAAAAGCCTATAATGCTGCCAATTACTTTTATGGATGGAAATACCAAAACATTACTGGCAGATTCAGCCACAACAGCCAGAGAACTGTGCAACCAGCTGGCCGACAAAATTGGACTTAAAGATCAGTTTGGGTTTTCTCTATACATAGCACTTTTTGATAAGGTAACTAACTATTCTAAGATACCATTATCAAGAACATCCCTTTTAAACCCTAACAATCTAAACATTCTAAAATTTCCTTAATAGGTGTCATCTTTAGGAAGTGGAGGGGATCATGTAATGGATGCCATCTCCCAATGTGAACAGTATGCCAAGGAACAAGGTGCTCAAGAGCGCAATGCTCCTTGGCGTCTTTTCTTCCGTAAAGAAATCTTTGCTCCATGGCACGAACCTACAGAAGATGCGGTTGCCACCAATCTTATTTATCAACAGGTTGTAAGAGGTGTAAAGTTTGGAGAGTATCGATGTGATAAGGTAAGCTTTTTAATCAATTTGCATAAAACCTAAAAATTAGCAATACGAAAAAACAAACATCATCAAAAAACTTCTTCTTTATGTTTTTCCTGCTTAGGAGGAAGATCTAGCAATGATTGCTGCTCAGCAGTATTTTATTGAATATAACTCTGACATGAATTCCGAAAGGCTATTAAACCTCCTTCCAAATTACATCCCTGATTATTGCTTGAGCAATGCAGAGAAAAGTGTGGAACGCTGGAAACAGCTTGTGGTACAAGCATACAAGAAGGTAGGGCAGCCTCCTCTGAATGTGACTGAAATTTGCCAACCATCATAATTCTAAAATTATTTTTTCTTTTCAGAGTTATTATTTAAAAGAGCAGGTTCCTGTGCTTCGAGTGAAAGAAGATGTTGTCAGTTATGCTAAATTCAAGTGGCCTCTCCTATTCTCACGCTTTTATGAAGCTTACCGTAATTCTGGTATGTGTATACTTAGAACATTGTGATTTAGATTTTTAGTTGTTACCTATTTTCATACACCTCTTTAAGTAAAAACGAGCAGTGATGCTAATTTCCAATTTAAAAATATTTTCAGGACCAAATCTTCCTAAAAATGATGTAATTATTGCTGTGAACTGGACAGGCGTGTACGTTGTTGATGATCAAGAGCAAGTGCTATTGGAGCTCAGTTTTCCTGAAATAACTACAGTATCCAGCCAAAAGTATGTGCCACTGTTCTTAAAGATAATTAAAATAAGTCACCAAAATAAATTTTGTGTTAACAAAGAAAATGTATCTGATTTTTGTTTACAGAACTAATAAGGTTTTCACACAGACTTTCACTTTGTCGACTGTCAGAGGGGAAGAATTCACATTCCAGAGCCCTAATGCTGAAGATATTCGGGACTTAGTGGTATACTTCTTAGAAGGCCTGAAGAAAAGAAGTACTTTTGTAATTGCACTACAGGACTACAAAGCACCTGGTACATTATTAAAATTTAATAATAGAAGTATTTGCCATGCTCATTTCTAAAAAAACATTTTTGTGATATTTTTTTTTTTTTTTTTTCTTCTAGGAGAGGGATCAACGTTCTTGTCCTTCCAAAAGGGAGATTTAATTTTATTAGAAGATGACAGCACTGGTGAAAAAGTGATGAGTTCGGGATGGTGTGCTGGACGATGTGAGAGGACTACCGAAAGGGGAGACTTCCCAGCAGAAACTGTTTATGTGCTGCCTGCCCTTAGCAAACCCCCCAATGATATTCTTGTAAGAATTCGTCTCCAACTAGCACTTATATTTTAAAAATCTCCCCTAAAAAATTATTATGATTCATGTTGATTAAAATTTTCTAGGCACTATTTAGTTTGGAAGGAGCAGAACATGGTCGAAAATTATATCCAACCCAAGTCAATGGCACAGAGCCAAGAGAGAAACCTCACAACTTAATGGAATACTCATTAGACCATTTCAGGTATACTCACTTACTATTATGTTCCTTTAAAAATGAGATGTAGCCATCATATTGATAATTAAAACATTAAAAACTTTGACTCCCTAGGACTCCTCCAAAACGCACCATGTCCAAGGCTCTCACTCTAACAACTGCCAGGAGAGGAAATGCGGATGAACTTTGGCGACATTCCCGTGAACCTTTAAAGCAGCCCCTATTAAGAAAACTGCTTTCTAAAGATGAACTAGCAGAAGAAGCTTGCTATGCATTTACAGCAATGTTGAAATATATGGGTGACTTACCCAGTAAAAGGCGTGTTGACACTGATCAAATATTTGATGGGCCATTAAAGCATGTGAGTATGCAAAGTAAATTTCCACATGTGTTTGTTTTAATGAAAAATGTTTGCCTGATATAAAACTTTTATGACACAGGAAATTTTGCGTGATGAGATATACTGTCAGATCATGAAGCAGTTAACTGATAACCGAAACCGTCTGAGTGAGGAAAGGGGATGGGAACTCATGTGGCTAGCAACTGGACTGTTTGCCTGTAGTCAGAGTCTCTTAAAGGTCAGCATTTCACTTGAGCTAGGAGCCTTTTCAAAAAGAATTTTGTTTCTTACAAATTTTTATATTTTACAGGAATTAACTCAATTTTTACGATCCCGTCGACACCCTATTTCTCAAGATTCACTTCAGAGGTTGCAGAAAACATTGCGAAATGGTCAACGAAAGTATCCACCCCACCAGGTTGAAGTCGAAGCTATACAACATAAAACAACACAAATATTTCATAAAGTTTATTTCCCAGATGATACAGATGAGGTGAGGTACTTCAAAATAAATTTGTCTTCAGAACTAACCACAACCTTGCAGCTAATTATCTTCTCCATTATTTTACAAGGCATTTGAAGTAGACTCATCAACTAGAGCAAAGGATTTCTGTCAAAATATCTCTCAGAGGTTGAACTTACGCTCCAGTGAAGGCTTTAGTTTGTTTGTTAAAATAGCAGACAAAGTTATATCTGTACCTGAGGGTGATTTCTTCTTTGACTTTGTCAGACATCTAACTGACTGGATCAAAAAAGCACGACCGTCAAGAGATGGTGAGAATACTGTTTAAAAATCGCAGTATTATATATTTCTTTCTGTAATGTCTTAAACAGGTTACCAATCTTGGAATTGTTGTTCTTCTGTTCCCAGGAGTCACTCCCCAATTTACTTATCAAGTATTCTTCATGAAAAAGCTCTGGACCAATACTGTCCCTGGGAAGGACCGAAATGCAGACCTTATTTTCCATTTCCATCAGGAGCTGCCAAAACTCCTCAGAGGTAAATTTAGCCATCATTTAATCTAATGAATCTCACTTAAAATTTTAACTTACTTTATTTTTGAATTTACTCTTAGGATATCATAAGTGTAGTAAAGAAGAGGCAGCTCGTCTTGCCGCTCTTGTTTATAGAGTCCGGTTTGGAGAAAGTAAACATGAATTGCAGTCCATTCCGTAAGTTTTGTGAAGAGCTATGTATTCATTGTGATGTTTAGGTTACTGTATTTCATCTCCTTTTCTATATTCAGGCAAATGGTGAGAGAACTTGTGCCAGCTGACATGATTAAGATGCAAAGCACTAGTGATTGGAAGAGAAACATTGTGGCTGCCTACAATAGTGATGCTGGTACTTTATTTATTTCATTCTTCTTTTTAATTTTATGCTAATCTGAAATTTGTTTTGACATTTACTTTGATGGTTTATTGCTACAATATTTTACTCTCCTCTTCAGGTATGAGCCCTGAAGATGCTAAGATTACATTTTTGAAGATCATTTACCGCTGGCCAACTTTTGGATCTGCGTTCTTTGAAGTGAAACAGACCACTGAGCCAACTTGTCCAGAAATGCTTTTGATTGCCATAAATAAGCATGGTGTTAGTCTAATAAATCCAGTAGACAAGGTAATATTCTCTTGGTAAATGATTTCACCACATCTCATATTGAAAACAAAATTTGTCTGATACCTGTTTTCTTTCTCCACAGGAAATAATTGTAACTCATCCATTTACGCGTATTTCAAATTGGTCATCAGGGAATACATATTTCCATATGACAATAGGGAACTTGGTTCGCGGGTCCAAACTCCTTTGTGAAACGTCATTAGGATACAAAATGGACGACTTATTGACTTCATACATTTCTTTGATGCTTACGAATATGAACAAGCAGCGTTCGTTGAGAATTAAGTAATCTTTCACTTCCTTTTTGTGGTTTGAGGTGCATTTTTAACATGCATTTCAAGTCATTAAACCTGATGAATTTTTCTATAACTCATATCCCTATTTAAGAGGGTTCTTTGGAACAGTTGCATTTGCTGCATTCTGAGGCATTTTCAGTTGCAAAGGAAACTGTCCTCTGGAAAACTGTGCTGTGACCGCTGGCTGTCTATTTAAAGCGGAATGTTAAATCAAAATTTCCTTTGCAAATGACAATGCTTGTACATAGGCTTTTTTCACCAATGTTTGTAATGGTATGTTACGTACATTGGCGTACTGATTGACTGATAAGTTTGTGTCATGACAATTGTAATTCAATTATTGGTGGGTTCTGGTTTTGGCAATGAATTAATTACTGATTATGGATGACAGTAATTGAGGGAAAGCAAATATTTAGCTCCTCTCTTCTCCTGCACACAACAGAAAAGAGAGCCTGATTAGTTGCCATGGAAAGTTTGTACATAGCAGTATTACATTTTGAATTTCATGGTTAGAGTAGCTTTCAAGCCTCTAGTCATGGTCATAGCAAAATTGCCAACAAATGTGTAATTTTAATCATGATATGTATAAAGAAGCATGAAAGATAGTCATTTCATCATTATATTGTACAGGTTAATTAAGACAATTATGCTCAAATCATTTATATTGCATATAATTTATGACCGTCCATATCCAGTCTTCCTCATCCTGGTTTTAAGAAAGATATATTTTCTTCAATTTGTAATTATTATATTGTTCTTATTTAAGTTTATGAAAAATTGTAGATTCTTTTTATTGTGACAATGAAGTTGATTATTATAGTGCTTTGCTGTTAACCTATTTCTCTTTGAGCTGGGATACTCTTTCACCCTGACTTTATTTCTATGAAGAACACCACTGGAAGTAGGTTAAAATTTATTGAGGGTCGCTCTTAGAACACAATACAGGAAAGTAAAAATAAACTGCATTCATGCAGCAATCACAGAAATCAGCACATCTCATCAACATACAAGAATTATGCCATTTCATGAAAAATAGAACACATGGCAAAGTTAAAGATAGAGATGAATACTATAGTTTTCTTTCAGTCTGAGTATGTATAGTAATGTACAAAAAACATCACAACATGCATGGTGTTTTACTACAGTCTACAAAATCAAATTCTTAATTTAGCAAGAATACTATACTACACTTAAAAAAAAATATTGGTCCCATTCATAAAGTTGGGCCTTTAAACACACAGCTGCCTTTGGTGTTCAAAAATCCATGATGTTAAAACTAGTAAAAATATAATTTAGGTACCTTGATTCCAAGGTGTATCATTAATGGCAGGATAACGATTATTCTGACTATCTCTATGAGGTTCAGCAGTTTGACTATCTCGTTCCCTCTCAGCATCCCTACTCCTTCTCGTCCTTACAATCTCGTCAGCAGGTGGACAATTAGGCCTTGGTCCTGGCTCTGGAGTGTAGGTGAATGTTAGCCCAGTTGCATAGATGACCCCATCATTACGAACTAATGACACAGGTACTTGAGTTGGTTGACGAACCCATTGCCACTCTCCACGAAATTGAGATATTTCTGGTACAACACACAACATACTTTCTTGACAACGATACAATGTTTCAGCTTCAACATCCCCAAACCAGACCTGGAAAAATAAAATAATAAATGGTTAGATCTAGCAGGGCACTAGGTTATTGTGAATGAATAAAATGATGCAACAACAATTAACATACCTGAAGATTAGGAGTAAAGTTTTCACCACTAAGTTCAAGCATTGCAACATCTCCTCCACCATTGAGATGAAGTGAGTGTACAATAGGAACAGGGGTCACAGGCAACCTAACAGGACCCATTCCCTCAAAGAACTGGTACTCCGCCTTATCCGTTGAGATAATTGTCCAGCATGCTCCATCATTGATCATTTCTTTGTTCAACTCCTGTACAAGTAGAAAAAGGCATTGTTACAAAACTTGAAAACACAATAAATCCAGGGCAAATTTTGGGAGAGTCCAACCTTTGGGCAAGGCGTTGCTTGAAATTGTATAATTCTTTCTTGGCTCAAGCACAAATACATTCGCTCAGTATCCTTCATGTAAAAAGCACACTTATGTAATTGAGATACAGGATCATCCGCTTCTAGGAGGGCCATCTGTTTGTCAACCTTTCTTATGATTAGCCGAGGTAAGGCCATACCAGTCACTGAACATACTAATTTAACAGTTGACCCATAATGGACATAGCCATCGCGGACAGTAAATTCTTCACTTTCACTTTCATTATCATCCAAAAGATGAATTGTAAAAGCGCCCCACTGAGTTGAACTTGCATGAAAGTTTCCATTTTCAACATGGAGATACCTGATTAGTAGAAAAGAGACAAGAAAACAGGACTTGGTAAAATTTTATGCTAAATATGTGTGGACAAATTTTACATACTTTTCAGGAAAACTTTTGAGTTTTACCTTGTGCTCACAGTTTGAGACCGAAGACGGTTAAAAAGGGCAACTTTTGTGCCACTAGCTATACAAAGATCGGCATTCTTTAAGGACTGTTTCTTTTTGGATGGTTTACTGATAACTTTGATTCGTTTGGAGTGAAAGACTCCAATATCTTGACCAGTCCCATAGAACATTTTCACAGACAGCATAAAATGCTTCCTTTTGTCAGAATCAGATATAAACAGCGTTTTTGCAGCACAATACTGTTTTCCATTGTTTAAATCTAACTGCTGCATATCCTGATCTGAACTTCCAATTCCAATGAAAGCACAAAGCTGAGAACTCTGTTCACTTTCACCTACAGACAAGACAGCCAAATTACTTTGAATGTTAGCAAACTGATTAGAATTTTAAAACATAAAATAATTATTTGACTTGGATCTTACCAGCTCTCATCAGCTGCTCTTGTCGAAGTCGCCATCCATCTCCGAAGAGATAGATACATGGAGGAGGACAGAAGAATCTTTTCTCATTACCATATGACTTTTGAGCTACTTTGGCATGGAGGATAACAATAACCATGTCATTTCGCTCCCTTAAGTATCTCTCCATAGCTTCACGTGTCAATCGTTGATCCATTCTTGAACTTAACAAGTTTAATGGACTTGGGGGAACTACTCCACCTCCACCACCCTGATTAGCAGATCTTTCAGCAACTCGTTGCGGTGGAGACGGAGGACTATGAAGTCCAGGAACCCCAAACTGATGAGGCATTTTTCAACGTCACACAAAGATCATGTTGAAACTGCAAGAAAAACAATTAAAATGGGAATGAGAATGAAATGGATCAAATAAACAGGTGAAATACAAAAAGGTGAAATAGAAATGGAAAGAAATACATGTGCATAAAAAAAACGAGTTAGGTAATAACAAAATAGATTGTAAATATTTCCCCTAAGGTCTATGAACTTGAGAAGTGCCTTTAACCTAACTTGAAGTTGAGATTTCGCTATTTCAAAGTGTAAAGCGAAAATGGAATACAAGAAAAGCATAGACTAAGTTGAAAAGTAGTGGCGCTAGCAGAAAACTACACGACATAAACAATAATGAAACAAAAACAACGAAAGCATATTGACAAACAGAAACGTAAACAATTCCCACGGTTGAGATTCTGCACCACTCTACAGCCTCTGATTCGAAGTGTATTGTACAATTTTGTAAATGCAAGGAACACAGGCCAAATGACCAACGCTGAGACACAAATAAATAAAAAGTGAGGGGAACTGAACGTACAAAAAATGCTTCTCACTCATAAACGGTTTTGTGAGAGATGCCGAAGAGAAGCCATCTTCACCGAAACACCTGTTTGGTTCACATACTGGAAAACGCTATACTCTATTGAGGGTAACATTATCCCGTCAAGAGCTCAAAATGCACGACTCCTGGCCATGAAAAAGAATTCAAAGTCACCTTTTAATTTTCTGGAGTTGAGTTGTGTGCAATAATACGTGATGTAATGGTAAAATGGGTCGCATTGTTTGTGTTACTTGTAAATGTTTTGACAGTTACAGAGAAGAGGCTGTCGATACCCGACTATACTCCGGCAAAACTCCAGACGGTTATTCAAACAAACGCATAAACAAAACTTGGATTCACGTTCTGTCTTATTTTTCATAGTAGTTGACGACACGAACGGACTATACCCCCCTCTTCCTGCCCCTCCGTTCGGGTTTCGTTCGGTTCGGATCGGATTCGGAGCGCAATACAAAACGCTGTTGCATAAGGGTAGTAAGTACCAAAGTAGTAATTTCCTTACATTCAGAAGGGTTAAAATTTTAGTTTGAAATATTTTGAGAGAGTGTTGATTCTCTGTCAACCAAGGGTAATTACTGTCATGCTGATGTGACAAACTTCTTGAAGCAACTTCACGGTTCACGGTGCACACGCTTCTGCGCTACTGTTAGTGCTAAGGTTGTGTTGTATCTTTCTTTTCTTAGATTCCTTCCCCCAGAGTGTAGTGCCAAATAATTGTCACAATGTCGAAAGCAACGGCTGTTCATTGGTTTAGAAAGGGTCTTCGTCTACATGACAATCCTGCCTTAGTTGCCGCATTGAAATCTGAGGTTTGTAAAATATCCATATCTAGATTAATGTTCAATTACTCCTCTCTCGAACGTTATTGGTTGATCTTCTCCTGTTCAATAGATTGAATTGCGTCCAGTTTACATATTTGATCCATGGTACGAGAAAAATGTCCTGTGTGGTCCTAATCGCTGGCGGTTTCTTCATCAAAGTCTCACTGACTTAGATAAAAGTTTACGAGACATTGGGTCCAGGTAGTTTAAATTTTCTAAATAACTTTTAAATGAACTGAAAGGTTGTAGATCTGAAAATATTTAGTAAGTTGCTATTGATTTCAGACTATTTGTATTCCGTGGAACACCTGAGGAAGTATTCACATCTCTTTTTTCTGAATGGAAAGTCCAACGCCTGACATTTGAAATTGATATTGAACCATATGCTCTTGAAAGAGATGAACAAATTATTAAAATTGCTCGTCAAGAGGATGTTGAGGTCATTCAGAAGATCTCTCATACCCTATACAATACAGAATTGTAAGCCAACCTTAATTGCTAACTGCTCACTAATTTAGAAAAACATTGTTTTGATACAAGTTCTATTTCTATAAAAAAATAAACTTTTTTTTTGCAGGGTTCTTAAGGCTAACATGGATAAACCTCCTTTAACTTATCAGAAGTTGGTTTCTCTGCTGCAGTCGTTAGGGGAACCTCCAGAAGCTGTTGCCGCTCCCAAAGAGCTGCTCTCTGAGCAACGTGTCTCATCAAAATTATTAGATTCTCATGATTATGACATCCCAACATTAGAGGATCTGGGTGTTGATCAGAGTCAACTTGGACCCTGCTTGTTTCCTGGTGGTGAAACAGAAGGCTTGGCACGTTTGGGACGATGCTTGGAAAGAAAAGTAAGACAGCTCCAGAGAAGATACTAGTTTTGGTTCAACTGTAAATAATCTGTTTCATTTTCTCTTTCACGCTAACTTAGGAGTGGATCAGTACTTTTGAGAAGCCCAAGACTATCCCCAACAGCCTATCACCAAGTACAACTGTGCTCAGTCCATATATAAGATTTGGTTGTGTATCATCTCGTTTAACATACCATAAAATAAATGAGGTATGAAGTTGTAATGCTTTATCATGTTATGAATTTACTTATTGTCTGTTAAAATGAATCTATGATATTTTTCTTTTAATTCTGAAAATAGATTTTGAAGGTGTACAAGAAACATTCAAAGCCCCCGGTGTCTCTCATCGGACAGATGTATTGGCGGGAATTCTACTATGTTGTTGCCTCAGCAACACCAAATTTTGACAAGATGATTGGCAACAAAGTGTGTTGTGCTGTACCTTGGGATGAAAATCCAGAATTTGTTGAAAAATGGGCTCAGGTAATTTTAAGCAAGGGTTGTATGTTCTTGTGTATTAAAATTTTATTTTTTAAAATTTATTTTATTATACTACAGGCACAAACAGGGTATCCATTCATAGATGCGTGCATGCGCCAGTTACGTCAAGAAGGTTGGATCCATCATCTTGCAAGGCATGCTGTTGCATGTTTCCTGACTCGAGGAGACCTGTATCAGTCATGGGAAGTTGGACAGAAAGTTAGGATCAAAATTAATCAAATACTAGAAAAATAAGTTTTAAAAAACCCTTGTGTTTTTAAAATACATATTTGGTCTCTAGGTATTTGAAGAGCTCCTCTTAGACGCTGATTGGGCTTTAAATGCTGGAAACTGGATGTGGATGTCGGCGTCAGCATTTTATCATCAGTTTTATCGTGTATACAGTCCTGTTGCTTTTGGTAAAAAGACAGATGTTCTTGGACAGTACATAAGGTGAGTGAACTATAATTTTCATTCAATATTTTGTCTACCATCTATCTAATTAAAGAGATGAATTCACAGGAAATATGTACCAGAGGTGGCAAAACTTCCAACTGAGTACTTGTATGAACCCTGGAAGGCATCTTTAGCTGTTCAAAAGGGAGCTAAATGTGTTCTGGGGAAAGATTATCCACACCGCATCATAATACATGAGGATGTTTACAAGAATAACATTGGACGCCTTTCTGCTGCGTACAAAGCTAACAAATTGTTAGCTCAAGGTATTCTTTTGAAAATACTTAACACTATGATTCAGGCGCGGTTTTTAAGTGGGGATGGGAGGGCAAACCCCCACCCGGTCGGCCCCCTAGTCAGTTCTTAGGAAGTCTCTTGGTAGGTATGAAATTTGACCTATAAAATCCTGAAGCAACCCAGAGTGCATAGCTTCCTTGGTCAGCTGGACTATAAACCGCGCCTGCTGTGATCATGTATGTTTCCTGTCATTACTAACTGATGTCTTTCTCTAGAAACTCTCGATGAAGATGATGCTTCCTCATCCTCTTCTCCCCCCCCTAAAAGGAAGAAAGGGGCCAAGAAGTAATAGCACAGAAGAAGATCCCACTCCAATGAATGAGGAAAATGGTGAGCAATGGACCACAAAACAGTATTTAGAAAATACAAATGTAGACATTTTAATATAATATTAATTAACTTACATCTTGATATGCATGGAAACTATTGGTAGTAAGCTGGCACATGTCAAAATTAACAAATTTATACACCATGTATTTTTACTCTCAACAAAGATTGCTGATATAATAGAATTGTAGAATTTTGTATTAGAGACAAATTAAGAGTTCCTAGATCATCTGTAATAGGTTATCAGATAATGGTAGTACAAACTGGGTAAACTGAAAAGTACAATCCTTCAATAATCAAAGGCATTTACATTTAATCTTATTAACATATCTAATAGATCTCATCTGTAGAAATGTGTATAAATGAGGCAGATTGAAAAGAAGAATCTCATGTTATACCTGTTTTTATACCCCTGTTCTGTCAGTGTTATTTTGTAAAAAAAAAAATACATAGTATTAAAAACTTCACACCATTTAATTTTTTTTTTCAATTACTCAAACACTTGCTTACACTTCATGAACAAATGTCTGACTTACTTTTCCTAATAAAGTTACAAATCAAGTAAAAAACATCTCATATTAGTTGCAAACTTTGGCATTACTGATAAACTAGGGATTTACCAGGTAAAATACTGACCCAATAAATGTAATTGGCACTAGGTTAGAGAGAAATTGACAAAAAATTAAATTATATCTGAAAATTTACAAGAACATTACAATGAAGAAAAGTGAAGCAATAGTAACTAACTTGGATAGGTCAACAAAAGAAATACTGATGCACTTCATCTTGGTAAAAATGCTGCAGTGTAGTCAATAAATAAATAAATAGATAAATAAATAAATAGCCTGTCTTCAGAAACAACAGGGTTTCCAGATAAAACAAATGCAGAGAGCTAGTTCAACATAAAAAGGTGCGTTCAAGAAATAAATCAGACTTATCAGTCACCCTTATATAACTAGTACATCACAACTTGGTCTGATATCAGGAGTACACTGACTAATGAGCCTCCTGACTAGTGTCTGAAAATACATGATCAAATAGTACAGGGTAAGATAATTGAGATGATGAAAGAAAACCATAGAAGAAAATCTGACTCAACTTTCAAATAGAGTAGCACACTAAACAGATTATTTTAACTCCCCCTTAATGATTCTTCAATCATCATGGCAAACAAATAGCCCATTTTGTATACTAAGAACAGTCTTCCTTCTTAGAAAGCGATGCAATCCAAATAAGCAACTAGAAGTAGAATGATCAGCAGAGGTGCTACCCTCCTACCCTACAGCTCATCAAAGAGATGCATGTTTTGAAGGTGATCTCCATAGTCAGTGGCTTCGCTTCCCACAAAGACATCATGGTGCTCCAAAATCTCTTCAAATGAAAGCATGTCATCATGGTCATCATCAGCACTAGCAAACAGGTGGTCCACTTCATCCTTTGCAATGTCACTTCAAAGGAGAAAGCCAGAGAAGCAATTATTTTAATGATCTAGTGAAGAATAATCAAATTTTCAAGACTACAGAAAGTGCACATAAGACTTACTCATTATTAGGGGTGATCCACGATAAAATTTCAGCAGAGTTCAGTCGCCCATCACCATCTTTGTCAAACTCACCATTGAACTTTTGTTCTTGCACTATAAGATATTCTTTCTCTGGAGAGTCACCCTCTGGAATGAAAGACTATGTAAGGAAAGACTATTTAAAATACAGAATTTTTCATGAAAATTATTACTTTGATTACAAACCTTTTCTGTCCAGAAATTCCTCAAAATTAATAAAACCATCAGAGTCTTTGTCTTTTTCTTCTAAAGTCTGAGCTAAAACATGAGGGTGCATGGCAGGATTTTCTTCAGGAAATTGGAATACCAGGAATTCTAAACGATCTAGCTTGCCATCCTTGTTACTATCAGCAGCCTCAAACATGACTTTTTCATTTTTCATGAGCTGTTTTTATAAAGAAAAAGGTTTTAGTTCACATAAAACATCTTTCATTTAATGTTACACATACAACAGAAATATTTTTTGTTTTTTAATTGTTTGGTTTATTAGTCACCTTTTCGTGGGCACCTTCCAAGTGGTCATCAGAAAAATCTGTGTCTTCTCCAAAAGAATTTTTTGCATACTCCAACCAAGTAACAAATCCATTGTTATCTTCATCAGCATCCTCAAATCTGTCTCCAGCTTCTTCTTCTGAAAGCATTCTGTGGGGCATAAAACAATTAGATAAATATAAAAAGATTCTTTTCTGATTGAAGCAATGACTCTGAAACGTACTTAAAGGATCGCATGATCCATGCATGTAGTTCAGAGCGATCAATGTGTTTGTCCCCATTCACATCCATCTTAGTGAGAAGAATGCCTAATCTGCGTTTCGACTCTTCGGGAGACAAGTTATCAAATTCTTCGGCCTCCTTGGCACTTCCTATGACAAACAAAAGGAATCATAAAAATGTAAACATAAACTATGAAAGTAATGCTACATACTTCCAGATGTTGACATGTAACAATTATAGACGGTAGGTAAATATTTTAAGCAAGGTGCTGTAAAATTTTAATAGGACTCACCAAGAATGGCTTCATGGTCGAACTCAGAGTGACTTTGGTGCTCTCTGTGTATGCGGTTGTGCTCCTCCGGTAGGAGGGCGCCGTCTGCCTCTCGCTCATGCGAGTGAATGTGGGCAGAAGCGGCGTCTAATCCATCGAACGAATGCGAGAAGATGCACAAGGCAATCAAAACACAAAACAAGTCCGCCCGGCCCATTGTGAGCTTGAGATGTCCTAGCAGACGGCACAAACAGACAGAAGCACCCGCCCTACCCTCACCCCCTCAACCCAACCCTAACCGCTCCGCTGCCGACAGACACTGTGAGCCGAACAAACAAAGGCTTGCCTCTGCACTTCAGCCGCCAAGCCTCGGCGCGGGGCTGCACGCGATTCGGAGACCACTTAGGTGTGCTGAACTCGCATAATAAAAACTGAAACACAAGCCATTTACATATGTTACTGGATCCCCTGGGGCGGCGAAAGAAGGGAAGGGAGGGGAGGCGGGGAGGGAGTGAAGGAGAACGGAGGGGGTGAAGAGTGGGCTAGAGAGTCGTTATCTGCTTCGTCCAGTGTTTGGGCACTAAAAGAAGTGATTGCTTCTAGCGGATTTTAACGGGCACAACACCTTTTCCAAACATAGCCTCACGTCTCTGTTAATTTTTCTCGACGAATAATGCTAGATTAATGTTAACAGTTTGCGAGGAGCGTAAGATGCGCGTGACTGTACATAATGGACAAGATTGGCGGGAAGAAGAGGAGGCGGTTGGCGCTTGGCGGGAGCTCGAGTCAAGTCGGGTCAACGGCTGGAGAAAAATCTTATCGATCTGATCGACATTTTGATCAAGCTAAACATAAAGTAGGTGTTGTCTCTTACTCTCGTTCATTTATTCAGTGGTATTATCCAGTGGTAATATGTCAAACGTCTCGGGTGGTCACGGGGTATGGTTAGGTATGGTCGATGGTCGTGTGCATGTGTTACCTAAGTGGTATTTTCGGCTTTCGCAGACCGACGCTCCAAGATGGCGCAGGAGCACATTGCGGCATTAGCCCTGGAACAGGCGGTAGGGCGATTTTCCAGAGACGAGGAGCAGTCTGACGACATTCTTCTGGTGAGCGTTACGAACTCAGTCAACGTGGAAAGCATGTGCCCCGGCCCCGGTGACGAAGTGGATGTGGCCTACTTCCAGCTCAACAACCCCCGCATCACCTGGGGAGTGAAACTGCTGGTGAGTTTACTCGTGTGTGTTTGTTTTGTAAAGTGCAGAAATACCGGCCTTTCAACCCGAGATGACTCTATGAAGCCTTGTTGTTGGTTTCTTCTAAGGTTGCTGATAACGGCGTTCTCCGCGTCGTCCTCTACGACGTGTCGGCCAAGGACCGCAGCCGTCTGCACATGCGCGGCACCGTGCACGTCAGGTCCCGCTGCTCGGGCGAGTACGACGTCGACCTCCAGGTCGATGCCAAGGACCACGAGCCGCTGAGGCCGCGGAGCCCGCTCCGCCTCCGCGTCGCGGTGGACGCGGACGGACCCGCCACCATCGCGAGCGTGCACCGCGCCACGGTGTCGGAGATCGGGGTGACGATGACCACCTTCTACTACCACCCCAAGCAAGGCCCGGCCGCTGACGAGGGTCGCGCGGACAGTAACTCGTCGGAGGACGCGACGTCTGAGGAGGTCGAGGTGGACACGGCGGCGGTGAACGAGGGCCCGGACGCTCGGCTGCTAAACAGGCTCAGCGCCGATTTCGGACAGCTGTTGACGACTCAGAAGGAGGCCGACATCACCCTGGTCGCGGAGGAGCAGCCCGTCCGCGCGCACCGGGCCATCCTCGCCGCCAGGAGTCCCGTGTTCCGCCGACTGCTGCAGCGGCACCGGGACCGGGCCGAGCCCCTGGAGCTGGAGGACGCGCCCCACGAGGCGTTCCTCAAGGTCCTGGACTTCATGTACACCGGCGACGCGTCGGGGCTCCAGGGACTCGAGAGGGACGTGCTCGTGCTGGCCGGGCGCTTCGGCGTCGACGACCTGGCCGACCTCTGCTGTCGGCGCCTGCTGCGCGCGCTCCGCCTCGACCACTCCAAGGCCCTCGACATGCTGGCGTTCGCCGAGCGCCACGCCGTGCACCGCCTCAAGCAGAGCGCGCTGCTGGTCGCCGTCGAGCACCTGTGCGAGGTGACCGCCTCCCAGCAGTGGCACGACTACAAGCAGAGCATGCCCTCGCTCGCCGCCGACCTCCTGGAGACGGCCGCACGCGTGCTCAGCAA